CGGTGTGGAGTTTTTGCCACCAAAATGTAGTGAGCCCCTTCACCTCTGGGACTTGATATCCACAGATCTTAAAATTGGCAACACTGAGAAACCCTTACCTAGATAGACTCATTTAACATGATCTGTACCATAAATGTGTCTATCCATTCTGCATAATTAAACATTCTGTACTTCTGGCACATTGAATTTACGTGACCACGTGCCACAATGTGCTCTGGCTTTGCTGCAGAAGAATAACACATCAGTCCATCTGGGAGGCATACGTGAATTATGTGAGAGGAAGGGGCTGTTGGGAGTTAAGTGAAGAGTCAGAGGAAAAAACATATTTCATGAAAAAGTCTTTGTGTGAATATCATGCACTTCTTGGGGCCTTAAAATGTCAGCATCTTCATTTTGGAGATGGCTTAGTGTTTGTTAATCTTTTACTGCCCCCTGCTGGAGAGAGAGAGAGAGAGAGAGAGAGAGAGAGAGAGAGAGAGAGTTACCACCAGGTGCCATATCTACCCCTTTCTATATTTTAGTTAAGATCGTTCTCAAATCAGAGTTCTGAAGAATTTGGGGTTACTTTGTGATGTTTAATGTTCTCATATTTCTCTCTGCTGCCTAAGAATAATAAAATATTTCAATTCAGTCTTCCCAAGTCCTTCCATGTTATTATTTGCTGCCTATGTTTTTCTTCAAATATCATTGTAACATCCCAGGAAACCTGTTCTACTCTTTCTTTCTTTCTTTCTTTCTTTCTTTCTTTCTTTCTTTCTTTCTTTCCTCCTTCCTTCCTTCCTTCCTTTTTTGGCTAATAAATCTCGTATTGGTTGCCTTCAGCAGCTCTTGACAAAACCTCAAGCTTGATTTATTTATTTTATTTATTTTATTTATTTATTTGATTTGCCAATTGTTTACAAGATAATAGGTATAAGTGTATACATAGTTGTGAATACATGAAATGGGTACATATAAGAAAAATAAAAGAAGAATAAGAGAAACAATAGGACAGGGACGGTAGGCACGTTGGTGCGCTTATGCACGCCCCCATTTAGTTTTTTTCCTCCCTTCTCTTGCCTGCAGGCCTTTTATCAACGATACTGAAATCACTATTTTACACTGCAATCCAATATCTTCTCAGAAACAAGTTCCAGTGTAATATATAACTGTTCAGAAGCTTCACTCAGTGAATTATTGTGTATAGAATTGTAGCCTTTGTCCTTAGTTTGTCAGGCTTCAGGAATGGCATGACATGGCATGGCATAGGAGTGGATTGGAGTGGAGTAGAGTAGAGTACAGTAGAGTAGGTCCTTGATTTACAACCAAAACTGGGCCTAGAATTTATATTGATAAGCAAGGCAGTTGTTAAATGAATCACATCCAATTTTACAACCTTTTTTTTCATCATTAAATGAATCATTGAAATTGTTAAATAAATCACTTGGTTGTTGAGTGGATCCAACTTCCCCCATTGACTTTGCTTATCCGAAGCCAGCTAGGAAGGTCACAAATGTTGATCACACGACCCAGGATACTTCATGCTTCAACTGTAAATAGATGTGAGTTGTCAAGTGCCCAAACTATGACCACAGGACCACGGGGATGCTGAGATGATTATAAGTGTGAGGACCAGTCATAACTCACTTTTTTTCAGTTCTATTGTAACCTTGTTAAACAAATGGTTGTTAGTTAAGGACTACCTATAAGAAGGGTGGGGAAGAGAGGAGAGACGGTAGAGTGGAGAGGAGACAAGACAAGACAAGGAGAGGAGAGGAGAGGGAGCAAGGGAGGTGGTCTTGATTACAATGATTACAGTGTTGGAGGACCCGAAGGAACAAGTTGGAGAGGGTATCCTCCTGCTGAACATCTAGCTAGATATTTGTTAAGGACACACACTGACATCATGGCACATAATCAATCCATCAATCATTCTTTCATTGTAACCATCCGTATGTAATTTATAGCTGTAAGCAATTTCTTCTTAAACTGCATACAACTCCAAGACTTCAAGAGAACAATTCTTTCTTTAATACGATTAGCATTTTAATATGAAAGCAGGCCATTTCAGAATATGTGGACTCAAAGGCAGCTGAAGGGGTGATGTGCACAAGCATTCTTCATCTGGATAGCCTGCTCCTCACTTAAATAAACGTATATTACCTTTTTTATGAGAAACTAATAAATGGGATACAGCTTACTCTTCCAGCTCAGCAGTGTCTCTCTTCTGAATCTGCCTGGGTTTCTTTTTTTTGTTTTTGTTTATTTGTTTCTGACTATTATTGCTGGCAATTTAATCTGGAAGGGTGTCCATAGGGTTTGGTTGAAAAAGTCAAGATATGGCTACAAGAGGGTGTTTGAAGTCCTCTTGTTTTTTATGTGCATCACATTTAGAGTTGGGATCACATCACTGAGACAACCATCTTGACAGTGCTAATCACACCCTGCAAATTGTTCTTCATTTTCTGTAACACCATGATGCTATCCAGAAATAAGACTGTTCTTGAATGGTACAATACTTCTGGGTGACAACAAATCCAGCCATCAAAAACTGCTTCCTGTTTTGGAAAATATACTTCTGGAAATGAATCAATTAGATTCTAAGAAAATTTCTGCAAAAGATCTGAATATTTTATTTAACCATGTAAGGAAGAGTCGGTATTATTTCACACACATTAGACATATTTCAGGGAGGATAAGAAAGAGGGGTGTCTGTCTGTCTGTCTCTCTCTCTCTCTCTTTGTGTGTGTGTGTGTGTGTGTGTGTGTGTGTAAGGGAGAGGGGGGTGGTTTGGGTGGGTGGGAGAGAGAGAGACTATTGTACAAATATATTTTGTGGCTCCGGGCAAGTAAAAAATCTTCACTCATCACTCAAGTCCTCAAACAGTGTCCTTTTTATGGTGCCCCAAGATCTGATCTGATCTTTTCAATCATTTCCAAATGTGAGCGTCATGTGGATAAATGTTATGTTCAGTATTGAAAGGATGCTAACTCTTTTATTTGACCAAATATCTTCATCAAGTTATACAACAGCACAAAACTTTTAATTTAGATACGTCATTTTATTCTCCTATTGTTTTTTTTTCTGCTCCCCAGTATTAATTGTTGTATTAAATTATTTATTTTCTTTTTTGCAAAGGCTGGTCAAAAATCATAATGTATTTATTTGATTTGAATATCAAAATACCATTCATTATTTCAAATATAAAAATGGCATCATTGCGTTTGGCACAGGAAAAAAATTTAAACAAAGCTTCAAAAGCAGCTTCTTTCTCCTCTGTTAGAGACTGCAGAAATATGTTGAAACTATGGCTAAAATCTAAAATCACAGGAGACACAAGAAAATTAATAAAATTTGAATCAGTACTTGCATTGCCCCAAAATAATATCCACTATTGGGAAAATGAGCCTGGATCACATTTTCATTTTAGCTAACTTTTAAATAAGTTACTTCAATCTGTATGTTTTTCATCAACATTTTATAACATTTTGCATAAATTATATTAAATATACATAAATGTACATACTATATATTATATATAAAATAATATTAATAATATAATAATGATATTATAATAATATGTTTATATACTTTTGATAGTTTTTAATGGGTTACAGAAAATCATACATTATAAAGTTTTAATCACCCAATAGATGCGGTTCTCTGCTCAGTATGGATTTACTTGGATGCCAACTGTGGAAAAAGGATGCTGGCCCTAAACATATTTTAATTCTTAGGGAAAAACTCAGGAACCTGTGGGGTAGTGAAATATACTCACCTGCGATGACCTAAAAGACAAACAAGACACTGAAATTAGCACAGAATGCAACAGCCACATCCTGAAATGGTCTTCCATAGAGTTGGGGCTATCACAAAAAGGTCTGAAGAGATGATGAGAGTCTTGGAGAGGGGGAAGGGGAGGGGAGGGGAAAAGAGAAGAGATACTGGTATAGTATCCATACAGGACAGTCTTCTCCAAGTTGAACAGCCTGTTCGTTTTACTCAAGAGCTAATGCTCCAGATACCCTCAGCCTGGGAAATCAAGGAGAAGACGGAAGGGAAGAGAATTGGTCCATTGCCACCTCTCATCCGCTTAATTAAATTTGGTCTAGTGGCTAAAGCAGCAGAATAGAAACCAGAGGTGGTGACTTTTAACCCCGTTTTAGATGTGAAAGCTGTCTGGGTGACTTTGGCTCAATCACCAGGAGGTGGGGGGTTGTAGTTTTGCTTTAAGCGTGAAAGCTGATTGGGTGACTTTGAGCCAATCACCAAAAGAGTTTCAGTCCTGCCAGAGGCATGAAAAACAATTAGGTAACTTTGGGCCAATCACTAGGAAACAATGAATTCTAGTCCCACCTTAGGCATTAAAGTCGACTGGATTACTTTGAGCGTCTCTCTCTCTCTCTCTCTCTCTCTCTGCTCAACCCACCTCACAGGGTGACTATTGTGGGGGGAAATAGGAGAAAAAGGAGTATGTTCAGAAGAGAAGAAGAGAGATATGTTGCAGCAATAGAATAAGAGGTGAATTTTTAATTGTAACTGTGTACAGAAGAGTAGAAGCTATTTCTTTATATATATATTTTTCTATTTTTTTTCTTTTCCTATTTTCTCTATTTTTCTTTTAATTATTTTACTTCCTTCTTGCACTTTTGGCTTTCTCGATCTTTTTCTCTTCCCTTTCTTACTTTGCATTAGATTTTATCTTCCTTTTTAAAAAAATTATATATTGTATATTACATACATATAATTAATGTCTGAGTGTATGGATGGGTGTATGGATGTAAGTATGTATACACACACACATCCTGCAAAAGCCTGAACTTGAAAACACTACATCAGTGTTTTTCAAACTTGGAAAACTTTAAGATGTTTGGACTTCAACTCCCAGAATTCCCCAGCCAACAAAACCCTGGCCTGGAGGATGCACTCCTTAATCCACCAGGGAAACGTGCAAACTCTGTCTGTACTTTCAAGGCAGTAGATCTAAAAATCTACTTTCCAGCCCTGCCAGACCCTACACACTACAACCTCCAGTTTCTCCGAAGCTGATATTTGCCCATGTTTTTTACTGCGGTGCCCCCCCTTGGGCTGCCTTGGCCCCTCTGTGCCTCCATCTTGACAGGCTCGTTCAGCTGCATCCAGTTCTCCATTGCTCCCCACTTTTTCCTTTCTCCCCCTATTTCTGTGTCTCCTCTTAAGAGCTTCCCATCTGAATCCTCCCTGCCTGTCAGGGAAGACAGCCCTGTGTCACTTCCCTGGAAGAAGCAGGGACAAAGCCGGTTGTCCTGGCAACCGCAGGCCACGCCCTTGCTTCCCTCATTGCCTTGGTGACAGCAACAGCTGACTCCTCCTGGCTGGCATCCACACTTTGCTGACCCTGCCTGGACTACCTCGCGGTTGCTAAGCACCTCTGTCCATTTACCGCAGTCACCTGGGCAACCATGGCACCCTGCATCATGATAATGGCAGCCATATTCTGCTGGTTTGGCCTTCTCTGGGCCTCTGCATAAACCACAGGATTGACAGCACTGTGCAGACAGCACACCGATGCAGAAGATGATGTTGGCTGCTGAGCAAAAGGCCAAAACCCAGAGGATGGCCCTCTTGTCACTGACACCAGTAACAGCACACTGGGCTGTGGCAGGACAGGCTGGGTCATTAGGGTAGCAAGTTGTGACCTCTTGACTCAAGTTGGGTAACTGAAAGCCCAGAAGTGTCCAGATGAAGGCGACATCGATTGCTAGAAGGAGGGCAATGCAGAAGATGTAGATCCCGTATCTCCAGCCCCCAAACCCTTCCCCCACTCTGGGAGAACTTTCGGTTCCTGATGTGGGCTTGGGCCTTCGGGCAGCTTCTGCATCCTTATCTGTGGGGCTTTTCTTTGTAACGTAAACAAACTTCAGGAGGGCTACGGTGAAGATGATGGCAATGAAGTGGAAAACCCAGAAGCCAGAGATGGGGACAGGGAATCGCTGGTTATAGCAAATGGCTGAACAAAATTTATTTCCATCCCCAATGTTGGAGGGCCAACGGCAAACCAGGTCGGCCTTGAGGGAATCCCAAGGCCCGTAAGCAAAAAATAAAGTCACCATGCGAAGGCCAATAAGGAAGTACCATGGGTTGGTACCCTGGCATATCTTCTCCGCTGAGAGTACTGCAATTGTCGGCTGAAAGAGCCGGGAAATACCACCGATCACCGTAGCCATCTGCACCGGCAGAAAGTGAAGAAGGAAACAGATGGAAGATAACTGATTAGAAATTAAAACAGCTTTTTTTTAAAAAAAGGATTGTCATACTAGACCTGGTTCCTTTTTTGATGCTCTTTTTCTCCACTTTTCTTCCTCTGTGATGAGATTTATACATTGCATTAATTTGTTGTTTATTTAACTAGTGTTTGTCAAATAACTAGTTAGATTTATTAATCTCTAACTATACAAACCACAATATCCATTCAGCATGTCAAAACCCAACAGACTAGGTTAAGATCGAACAAAAGTAACTTTTCTCCATGTTGATCTTCCTGTCTTTTGCTTCTTTCTTTATGCCCTATTCTCATTGCTTCTTTTTGTCCCCTCATTTTGGCTTTTCCTACCAGTATTTTCTTATATATTTGATATTTTATGCTTGAGCTTTTGAAAAAGTTAAATATTTTGCTGAAATATCGAAATATCTCAGAATGGCATTTTAATCTAAAGCAAATCTATTGCTTGAGGTAAATTTGATGTACACATTAATAATCTCTTTCAAATTAGAGGCAATGAACAGAAAACCAACAAATTAGAATAATTAAAAAAATTGGCTTTGAACTGGGGAAAGCCTGATTCAAATGTTTGCTGATCATCAAGGTTTATTGGCGTACAGAGTACAAAGCTTAGAGCAAGCAGTAGTATGCTATGGGCTTGGCCTTAACTTAAAATTTCCTAGGATTGCCCAGATTCTACTTTCTAGAAAATACACAACTTCTTTAAGGAGACAGAGACAAATACGAGCATCTTAAGATCCAAAATGCTATACATAGGTAGACATACCTACCATCAGCTGCTGCTGCCATCTTATAGTGTCTGTCTTGAAATTGACAGATGTGTCCCCACTTATACCCAAAACATGCCACATGACAAAATCTTTTTTCTCCCACATGCCTATTTATTTGAAACCATTTATATGGTCATCACAGACATGGCAGTGATTCTGGACAGCATGCAAGTATTCAAAATCAGGCAGCAAAAAAACCAGAACAACTAATAATCTACATAACCAAAATCCAGGAACTAGAAGAACCATCCCCAATTTATCATTTAAAAAAGCAATAAAATGAATCAAGCAACTAATCAGCAGGGCTGCCAGCTTTTGAGTACAGGCAGTCCTCAATTTATGAATACAATTGGGACTGGATTCTTTCTCACTGAGTGAAATATCAGTAAGCAAGATGCCCATGCAATTGCTTTGCTCAGTGACCATATTCCAGTTGCAGTCATTAATCAATTTCCTGGGTCATTAAGTGGACAGAGCAAAAAAGGTGTCTGCTGAGTTCAAATTCCCTCTGTGCAGAAAAGGAAACTCCTCTGAGGGATGCAGGAACAGATTTTCAGGATCTGACCTCCATTTCTGCAACCTGTCAAGGAGTTTCCCTCTCCTAAGCAGCCTTATTGTTTTCAAAGAGCGGCTTCCTGAGAGGGAGCTCTAGAGCAGACAGCTGCAGCAGCTTGCAACTTTCCCTCTGGCTTCACCATTGACTTTCTGGAGAAGCCAGTAGAAAATATCGTAAATGGCAATCATATCAGAGGTGGTATTCAGCAGGTTCTGACCAGTTCTGGAGAACCGGTAGCAGAAATTTTGAGTAGTTCGGAGAACCGGCAAATACCACCTCTGACTGGAGATTTTACAGTATCTTTCCCCTGCCACACCCACAGAATCAGTAGTAAAAAAAAATTTAAATCCCACCAGTGAATCATTTTATCACCTGGCACTTGGCAACAGGTCATAAGATTGTCATAAGTACATACAGATTGCCAAGCATCCAAAACACAATCATGTGACCATAGGAGTGGTGGTGCAACAATGGTTAGACGTACTTAACAGGGAGTTAAAGCACCCATTCCAGGCCATTGTTAAACAAATGGTTGTAAACCAGGGTCTACTTACAGACTACAAAACACTAATGGGATGGGAGAAAGCGGGTAGCAAAACTTGTTTACCATCTTAGATCATTATAAGTTGTTCCAGTGAACTTTCCTCTTTCTTAGAATAGTATAATACAATAAATTTGGGGTAGGTAAAATGTAGTAGACTTACCACCCATTGTCAGATGTGAAAGACCAGGTCCACACATGAAAGTCCAATTAAACTAATTTATTGCTAAGCAGCCAATCTTCACAGAAATCTTCTCAACTAAAGGTTAGTACCTGCTTAGAATTAAATACAGGTCATCAGAATTCAAGAAAGGTTGGATGTAGTCTACTTGTGGTTATGTAGGGATTCTAGGCTAATCTCTCTTTTAACTCCACCCCCAGTTTCTGCTACTCTTTCTCCTACATTTATTACTTTAGAGCAGGGGTGTCAAACTCAAAGTGGTTAGATCTGGCCTGTGGGGCCACCCTGGAAACAGTGGAGGACTAGCCCATGGTATCTCTGCCAGCAAAAACTGAGCTTGGGAAAGCCATGCCCTCGCCCCCAGCTCCATTTTCACTAGCAGAGGGCTGCAGGAGACTGTTGTGGTCAAAAACGCACATCAAGCTGGCCACGTCCCCCCTGGCTACACACACCCCAGTTCCCCAAGGTCAAACACAACCCTGACGCAGCCCTCAATGAAATCAAATTTGATACCCCTGCCTTAGAGCAGCATTTTTTCAACTTTGGCAACTTTAAGATGTGGGACTTCAACTCTCAGAATTCCCCCTGCCAGAAGTCAAATCACTAGAGTACAGCAATTAGAAAGAGAAGCAAGATAAGGACTGGCAAAGGGCATCTTCGTGTTATTGCTTTCAGCTGATTCAAGGAAAAGTAAAGGACATTTCAGCAAAGCTGTAGGGAAAAACAGCTTACACTGCAAGCTGTCCAACTGGAATAGAATCTCTATAATAGAATAACAGAGTTGGAAGAGACCTTATAGCAGTGGTAGGATTCAACATTTTTTACTACCGGTTCTGTGAGTGTGGCTTGGTGGGCGTGGTGTGGCTTGGTGGGCGTGGCAGAAGATACTGTAAAATCCCCATTCCCTCCCCACCCCACTAACCTGCTTTCCAGCTCCTGTGCAGGGCAACAAAAGAAGACCCAGCCGATCAGCTCAGACTCGGGAGGCAGAGAATAGATGGGGGCAGGGCCAGTCAGAGGTGGTATTTCAAACTACTCAAAATTTCTGCTACTGGTTCTCTGAACTACTCAAAATTTCTGTTACCGGTTCTCCAGAACTGGTCAGAACCTGCTGAATACCACCTCTGCCTTGTAAATCATCTACTCCCACCTCTTGCTCATGCAGGAGAAATAGACAGCCTAATTGTTAGGTGTTATTGTTATTATTGCTTCTCAATCTGGGGTTTTTTTTTTCCCTCTCATTTCTCCTCGTGAAGAGTTCTCTAGAACCTAAAAATGTGCATATCAAGCCAAATAAAAATATTATTAATTCTGCTTTTCTTCTGAGCCATAGATCAACAGGAACCTGATTATTTTCATATGCATACTTCATAACGTTGTTATGAGATAAACCAAGGGTGTGTTGCAACATTAAAATCAAATAATTAAATATAAAAATAAGTATACTTGAAAGTAGATAACTATGTGCTATTAGTCACTTTTGCTTTGGGGCTTATATGAAACTTCAAACATGCATGTTTCTGAACAACTAATATTCCTTGATCCAACCGTGAGATAAGAATAATAAAAGAACACAATAACAATCATATCAAAATACCAATGAACAACATGCACTAACAACCAGAAACTCTAGTGTCAGGAGAAGATAAATTGATCTTAATTCCAGAAGCCTTTTGGGGGCGGGAATTAACTTCATGGTTTTTTGAAATCTAATAAGAATATGGATATCTGATCTTTGGGTGCTTCCATGGGCAGTTTCCATGATCCCTGATAAAAACACTCCTTAAAGAAAAGAGCTGGAAGGAAACTTCTTTTCCATCTCTTATTGAGCATGCAAATAGATTCCCAGGTCCGAAGATCATTTCCATTAATCTATTAAAATCAGGATAAATCTAAAATGTCTTCTCCGGATGTATTGAGCTCACAAGCGCCTACAAGAGCTTACAATTAAAAGCCAATACAAATAAAACATATTACAGTATCATGTAATATGGTTTATTTTAATTTAAAACATTAAGAAAAAGGAAATATTTTTGGGTTAAATGATCATGGTGTAGTTTTCGGGGGCCCTGATGTTTCACCAGCAATTGTGGCTGGCATCTTAGGTAGCTTACCATGCCTCGAAGATGCCGGCTGCTGGAGAAACACCAGGACACTAGAAAAATAGACAAGCCTGAAAGCTTATCACTGCTGGACTGATATCAGGTGTGAAAGCCTACACCAGTATAATGAAATATGTGGCAAGTCTATTTTGAACCAAGACACCAATTCTCTTTCTTATCTCCATTACAGATTTTTTTTTCTGACAAAAGGCAGGTTTTTTCCCCAAGCCAGAATACCCCATTAGTTGCAAAAGCATGGGACAGATTTGCAATAAATGAATATTAGACAACACATATGCCTGCAAATGTTTTTAGCATTTTTACTTTCTCTCTGCTTTTCCCTTTCTATCCCACAGCCAGAGAGACAGAAGGGATATATCATCTACATTAATGAGACAGGATAAAGTAGTTCGGGACCATCTTAGCTTCTGCACTTCATTTGACTAAAACTAACAGCAGTTGATTAGACAAACTTCCCCCAACTGGCACCATCCAGATGCTTTGGGAGTAAAACTCTCCTATTGACACATGGCCAACAATTGTGAATCTGGAAATATTAGTCCCAAAACATGTAGAGGCGGCCAAGTTGGAAAAGATTGTCTTACCGTAATGAAAATCTATTTGTAGCTAACAGATCTATTTGATCTTCACAAATAGCAATTGATTGATCTAACTATCTTATCTGCTAACAAAGCTATCTCACCCACTAGCATCCTATTATCACCTCCTAGTGATAAATCCCATAATTTAGCCTAGAGACGTATGAAATATATAAACTTGATCTGACTCGCCTA